ATCGTCCCACGTGGCTGAAGTGCACGGAATGCGTTGTCTGGGAGTGCAAATATGAGCCCCACATGCCGCTCAAGCTGTCCCGGGCGATGATGGCGTTCATTCAAGATCCGCAGCCATCGAGCCCAGCCACAATTGCGTGCTGATGAACGCACAATTGCGGTGCCAGACACGTGGCAGATTGGGACAGTTTTCAGGTAAAGGCGGTGGTCGTCGCAACAAGTTGGTGGTGCAGCGTCCTGGAGGTATTGCGAGGAGTCAAGTGAGCATCGTGCGCAAGATGGAGCGTGGCGAGGCTCAACAATCAGGGCCTACGACGTGGCCTTTTGGTGAGACCTTGAAACCGTGGGCGCAGGCAAGGCGGAACCGCCGCAGGAGGTGAGGCACTCATTTTTGAGCCGCGCCGCCATCCTTCTCTTACAGATTAGTTGGTTTTCCTCGCTAGTCTGCCCGCGTCTGCTTCGTGTGCTTGCCAGACTCCAGCTGGTGCCGTTCTTCCCCCACCTCCTCCTCCACTTCCCGCCCTACTGCAGACGCAGAGCGTGCAGGCGACGAAACGCCAGTTCGGCCAGAGCAACTCGTAAATTTCGGCTCGGTCAGGGCATGTACTAGCAGGCAATGTGTAATCTTCGGATATCTATACCCTAAATAGTCAAGTGGTCCCCCGCCTCCTTTCTTCCTCCTCCGCCTCTTCCATTGGGTCCTCGTCGTCGGCGACATCGTCGACGATCGTCGTCGTTGTCAGAGGGGCGTCGTCGTCGACGGAGGTTTTTGGGCGCTCTTGGACCTTTTTGGGTACCTCCGGAGGCTTCTGGAAACCTGTGGGGACTTTTGAAAGAGGAGGAGGAGGAGGAGGAGGAGGAGGAGGAGGAGAAGGAGAAGAGGAGAAGAGGAGGCGGAGTAGAAAAAGAGGAAAGGAAGGAGAAAGCGGAGGATCGACGTTCGAGGATCCAGTTTCCTAGGCGTTCCGGGTAGTGTTGGGCCTCCAGCAGATTTCTCCGTCGCCATGGCTGGAGCAGTTTCGAGACTCTGGCTGGCACGCACTCCAGGATAAGTCTGGGGGTCGATGTTGCGGGGGGAGGGACGAGGACGAGGACGAGGGGCGAACGACCACGACTCGCGATGGCGACGAGGAGGAGAGCGAGGCTGAGGAGAGGAGCCCTCCCCGACCCCTTTCGGGCGAATGCCGCGCCGCGCGCGGTCGAACGTTTGGCGGAACGGGAGGAGGGGCATAAGGAGGAGGAACAGGAGGAGCAGGAAGAGGAGGGAGGAGGAGGAAGGAGGACGAGGACAAGCACGAGGAGGAGGAGGAGGACGAGGACGAGGACGAGGACGAGGACGAGGAGGAGGAGGAGGAGGAGGAGGAGGAGGAGGAGGAGGAGTAGGGAGGAGGAGAAGGAGGAGGGGGGAGAAGGAGGAGGAGGGAGGACAAGCTAGGTGCGCTCGCGTCATATCCGACGTCCTACCCCTCCCTCCCATCCCTTGCCATGGCGCAGATATCCTCCCTATTCGCACAATTGGATGTCGCAGCATGGCGTAGCATTACATGGCATAGCATGGTGTTGAAGATTAACGCGTAGCATAACATAGCATGGCGTGGCGACGCCCCAATATGAGGAGGGCCTCTGCGGCCCGACAAATGAAGACCGAATGTGTAATCACTTATGATGGCTTCTTCGGCAGGCCATGTTTTAGACTTTCTGGCCTATTTCGAAGGATCGAAAACCATGCCGTGGCATGGCACCGGAAATAATGACGCCAGCGCAGCAGCGGGAGCACGATTCGGAACGAGCGGAAGCGCGGAAATGAGGCCAGCGCTGCAGCGGGAGCACGATTCAGAACGAGCGGTAGCCCGAAAATGAGTCCAGCGCTTCACCGAGAGGAGCATATCTTGTACAAAATTCGTTTGCAAACCAACAAAAAAAAAAAAAAACGGAAGCGCGGAAATGAGGACGCGTAGCCTGACATAGCATGGCGTGGCGACGCCCCAAACGCCCCGGGGTGGGGGGGGGGGGGGGGGGCATCCGCGGCGCAAAAAATCAACGAATCGACACTGAATGTGGAACCATTTCCGATGGGGACATTTTTTAGATTTGGGGGCTATTTGGAAGGATCGAAAACCATGCCGTGGCATGGCGCTGGAAATAATAACGCAAGCGCTGCAGCAGGAGCACGATTCGGAACGAGTGGAAGCGGGGAAATGAGGCCAGCGCGTCAGCGGGAGCACGATTCGGAACGAGCGGTAGCCCGAAAATGAGGCCAGCGCTTCAGCGAGAGCAGCATGCGTGTGTATAAACACACACACACAAACAAACAAACAAAGCAAAAACAAAAAACGCGGAAGCGCGGAAACGAGGACGCGTAGTCTGACATAGCATGGCGTGGCGACGCCCCAAAGTGGGGGGGGGCTTCCGCGGCGCAAAAAATCAACGAATCGACACCGAATGTGTAATCACTTCTGATGGTTTCTTCGGCAGGCCATATTTTTGGACTTTGGGGCCCATTTGGAAGGATCGAAAACCATGCCGTGGCATAGGGCTGGAAATAATAACGCCAGCGCTGCAGCGGGAGCACGATTCGGAACGAGCGGTAGCCCGAAAATGAGTCCAGCGCTTCAGCGAGAGCAGAATTTCGAACAAAAACCCAAGCGAAAACCCGTTTCCGGAAAATCTTGTGTAAAAAACCGTACGCGGAGGGTGGCCGGTTATTTCCCGGACGCCACAAGGGGAGAGAGGAGAGTAGTATTCAGATCGTCTAATTCTAGAGGGGGGGCAGGAGGAGGAGAGCGAGGCGATGACAGGGAACTTGCGATGTCTTCCGAGGCCCCTCCGCCGCGCCGCCATGGCGTTGCCGGCTGACGCCGCCCTTGGCCGCCAGCCGCTGGCGCCCGCACCAGCCGCCCCTGGACCCAGTCTTGCCGTCTGCAGCTGGCGCACCACCTTTTGACTCCTAACGCACCCGCGCTGGGGTTGGGCTGCCTCGAATTCGACACTGACGCATTCACCTGCAGGTTTCGCTTCGCACTGGGCCCCGCCGCCCCCCGTCGTTGACGCGGCAGCCGCCGCGCGTCGAGCGGCGAGGCCGGCCACGCCACACGCTCGGGGAGCGATCTGACCTTTGAGCCGCCCGCCCTTTCCTGATTTTCCTTCGGCCGCGTCCCTCCTCCCTCCTCCTCCTCCCTCCTCCTCCTCCTTCTCCTCCTCCTTCTCCTCCTCCTCCTCCTCCTCCTCCTCCTCCTTTTCCTTTTCCTCCTCCTCCCTCCTCCTCCTCCTCCTCCCTCCTCCTCCTCCTTTTCCTTTTCCTCCTCCTCCTCCTCCTCCTCCTCCTCCTCCTCCTCCTCCTCCTCCTGCATGGTGGCACAGTTCGGCCCAACGGTACCCCCGCTCATGCCACTCATCGCCAGCGCAGTCACCCGCTGCCTGGCCGCCGCCGCCAAAAAAAGAAAGTCCGAGCCCCTGGCCTCCGAGCTCTCGGCCCCTGAGATCCGGGTGCCGCGAGCTTCTTGCGCCGGGCGCCGGCGCCCGGCTGCGGGACCTTCACGGGTCGGCCGTGTTCGGGACATGCCGGAGGAAATGTCAGGGTCGAGGGCTCCGCTCGCGATTTTTCGCGAGGATATAAGGCGGAGACTTCGGCCTCATCGCAGGCGGGGTCGAGGGCTCCGTTCGCAGTCTTTCGCGAGGAGATATAAGGCAGAGACTTCGGCACCACTGCACGTGGGCAAGCTTCGCTCCTGGCCGAATCCGGACCCTCGGACATCCTTGGGCGTCTCCTGACGACGCCTCGTACAGTCGAGGCTGACTGGTAGGTCGATCCTGCCAGGTCAAGGGTACCCTTGCGTCCTGTGTTTCGCGACCCACGCCCTCTACATTCCTGTGGCAATGTGGCCCTCGGAAGGGTCTTGCGTCCTCTCACGTATCCTTTCCAATCAACCTCGACTGTAGATAGTTCCACTGATTTTACGAAGATCCAGAACGTTTCAATGTTTGCTCCGAAGTCGTGTAAAACAGATCTCTGGTCGACCCTCGAGGGTCGAGGGCCAGACTTAGCGACGAGCAGATGAAAACATTTCGACAACGATGGCGACGACGACGACGACGACGACGGCGGCGGCGGCGGCGACGACGATGATGACAATAACGCCGACAACGACCACGACGACGACGACGACGACGACGACGACGACGACGACGACGACGACGACCGCGACGACGGCCGACGACGATGGACACCCGCTCGCAAGGCGCGCAACCCCAGAGATTGAGGATTCAGCCTCGCCATCATCATCCTCATCCTCATGCTCATCATCATTGGTACAGCCGTCATCGTCAGCATCATGATCCTCCTCCTCCTCCTCCTCCTCCTCCTCCTCCTCCTCCTCCTCCTCCTCCTCCTCCTCCTCTTCCTCTTCCTCATCATCAGCATCAGCATCATCATCAGCATCATCATCGTAGCTATCATCGTCATCGTCATCGATCGTCATCGTCATCATCTTCTTCATTGATAGCATCACCGTCATCGTCACAGCATCATTTTCATCAGCATCATCATAAACAGAATCAGTAGCATCATCATCATAATCATGATCAGAGTCGTCACGATCATCAGCATCAGTATCACCGCCACCATCGTCCTCATCAGTTCCATCGTGATCATTATGATCCTCGTCCTTCTCCCCTCATTCATCCGGTTCCTGTTCTTCATCATCATTAGACTCGTATTTCTCATTGCCCTCCTCCTCACGCACCCCTTCACCTGATACCCCTCCTCCTATTCATCGTTCTCATCTCACTCCCCCTTCTTGCCCGCTCCCTCCGCGTCCCCATCCTCCCCCCACTCCTCCAGCTCCAGCTCCTCCTCCCATCCTTACGTTCCTCCTCCTCCTCCTCCTCCTCCTCCTCCTCCTCCTCCTCCTCTTTCTCCTCCTCCTCCTCCTCCTCCTCCTTCCAGCGACGCCGCCGCTGCCCGCGTCCTGCGCCCTCCTTCTGCCTTCGCAGCGCGCGCAGGTCCATCTTCCAGAACCCGCAGGGCACCACGACGATGCGCGCGGGCGCGGCCATTCCCGGCTACGCCGGCTTCATCCCCGGCAGGGTAGCGTTCGGTAGTTCTTTGGCCAGGGCGGGACCGAGGGAAGAGCGGGAAGCAGGACGAGGGAGAGAACGAGGGCGAGGAAGACGAGGAGAAGGAGGAGGAGGAGGAGGAGGAGGAGGAGGACGACGACGACGCGGCGGCGGCGACGACGACGACAACGAGGACCAGGAGGAAGATTTAGGAGGAGAACGACGTGGACGAGGACACGGAGCGGCGACAGCGGGAGAACGAGGGGAGTGGGAGATGGAGAAGGTTGGGGGGAAGGGGGGGAAGGAGGAAGAAGGGACCGAGGATCGAGGATGGAGGATTTCGAGGAAGTGGAAACATGATATTAGCGACTGGTCACGTTTCCATACAGAATTGGCGCGATCCGTGGGCAGATCAGGCGGCATTGGCCGCATGTTTCGGGGGGGCTTGTGCCCGAGGATTGGCTTTTTATAACTCGTTCGACACTGTGGGAGCCTCCGGAGGCCTCCGAAAACTTCTGGCGGCTTCTGGGCCATGGGAGGTTCTTAAGAAGCCATTGGGAGGGTCTTGGGAGTCTCCTGAGAGGCTCTCGAGAGGCTCCTGGGAGGCTCTTGCGAGGGTCTTGAGGCGTTTGAGAGGATCCTAGAGGGTCCTGAGATGCTCCTGAGAGAGTCCCGAGAGGCTATGAGAGGCTGATGGGGGACTTTTGAAAGGCCCTTTGGCGGCTCCCGAGAAGCTCTTTATATGGAGAGGCTAGTGGGAGGCTCCTGAGAGATCCTGAGAGGCTCCTGAGAGGATCTGAGAGGGTCCTGAGAGACTCCCGAGAAGAAGCTTCCGATTGATTTGCTGCTCGTGCTACAGAGCGGTGATCATGGGGCTCGGAAAGAAGAGGAGTCCAGGGTGCACAACAGGCGCCTCGCCCGAGACAGCCCCACATTCTGGGCGCGAACGTGAACATTAAATGCCCCCTGGCGGTGCTCCCTTAGGGGTTCTTGACTGTTGTGGCTGCTACAGGGAGGTAATCCCGTGGCTCTGAAAGGAGGCGAGTCCGAGGTGCAAAATGAGCGCCTTGCTCGAGAGATCACCACAGGAGCAGCAGCAGGAGCAGCAGCAGGAGGAGGAGGAGGAGGAGGGCGACGACGAGCAGGGGGAGGAGGAGGCCACCAGCGGGGTGCGGGCCAGGCCAGGCGCCCCCCCGCCCGTCGCATCGGCCTCACCACCGCTGCCGAGGTGGCGGGCGGCGTCCACGGCAAGCGCACCGTGGAGGCCAATTTGCAGGACGGCGGTTCCGTCCCTCTCTCTCTCTCTCTCTCTTCCTCACCGTCTCTGTCACTCTCTCTCTCTCTCTCTCGCCGTCCCTCTCCCGATCCTCGAGGGCCGAGGGAGGCCTCGATCCTCGGCGATCGGGGCATCTGACTCTCCCTCTCTCTCTCCCCTTCTCTCTCTCTCTCTCTTCCTCTCCCTCTCTCTCTCTCTCTCCCTCTCTCTCTCTCTCCCTCTCTCTCTTTCTCTACCTCACTCTCTTTCGAGGATTGATATTCTAGGTTTGGCCGTATCTGTCGACTGGCCTTCGGCCCATCCCGACTTGGGGTGGTGAGTCAGAGGCCTCTTGGACGTTCGTGTGGCTCTCGTCGGAGGTTTCTCCGCTTCCCCTTGGAGTCCGTTCTGAAGCCTCTGGGGGGCCGTTACGAGCGCTTCTTGGGCCGTCTTGGGGCGTTATTGGGCCGTTTGGGAGGCGTTCAGGGCAGTGTTGGGGCGGCTGGGAGCTGGGGGGTTCTGCAGGCCAAGTGCTCGAAGTGTCCGTTCGCGTCCCCCTATATGGGCCCCCTCTTGGAGCCGACTTGCTTACAATATACACACTGCTCATTATTAAATATTCGAAAGTTCTTTGTGATTTTGTGGGCGCCAGGATCCTTTCGTTTCTAGTTGTTCTATCCTGGGCCTCTTCCTGGCCACTAGGGGGCCAGGAACAGTTAGGAACCAGCACAGTTAGAAACGAGCACGATCAGAAATGAACGACGTGTACGACTTACGCGCGGAGCTCGAAGATCTCTGTTTCTGGGGAACCTCTTCGGAGCGCTCGTGGAAGCCTCCGGGGGGACCGTTGCAGGCCTCTTGTGGTAGCTTCTCGGGGGCCTCCTGGAGAGCGTGTCTTGGGAGGCCTCTCGTGGGCCTCTTGTGGGCCTCTTGGGGGCGTCTTGGGGCCTCTTGGGCGCCTCTTGGGTGTCTCTTGGGACCTCCTGGGGTGGTTCTGGTGGCCGAGTGCTCGAAATCCTCCTCTCCTCCTCCTCCTCCTCCTCCTCCTCCTCCTCCTCCTCCTCCTCCTCCTCTTCTCCTCCTCCTCCTCTCCTTCTCCTTCCCCTTCCCCTCCCCCTCCCCCCTCCTCCCCTCCTCCTCCTCCTCCTCTCCTCCTCCTCCTCCTCCTCCTCCTCCCCTCCTCCTCCTCTCCTCCTTGCCCTCCTCCTCCTCCTCCTCCTCCTCCTCCTCCTCCTCCTCCTCCTCCTCCCCCTCCTCTCCTCCTCCTCCTCCTCTTCCTCCTCCTCCTCCTCCTCCTCCTCCTCCTCCTCCTCCTCCTCTCCTCCTCCCTCCTCCTCCTCCTCCTCCTCCTCCGCTCCTCCTCCTCCTCCTCCTCCTCCTCCTCCTCCTCCTCCTCCTCCTCCTCCTCCTCCTCCTCCTCCTCCTCCTCCTCCTCCTCCTCCTCTCCTCCTCCTCCTCCTCCTCCTCCTCCCCTCCTCCTCCTCCTCCTCCTCCTCCTCCTCCTCCTCCTCTCCCTCCTCCTCCTCCTCCTCCTCCTCCTCCTCCTCCTCCTCCTCCTCCTCCTCCCTCCGCGCCCTGCCCCCTTCCTCATCCCGCGGGCGAGGAGGAACAGCACTTGCCAACTATCCCGCTCCCCCCCCCCCGCGAGCGGGGGGCCCCAGGCCCCAGGCAGGGGCAGTAGGAGACCGCACCGCCCCTCGAGAGGAACGCCGAGGGGGGCGAGGGTCAGAGGGGATGTCCTGCCAAGGGACTCCAGGCCACACGAATGGATAGACCTTCCCTCGAGACAACGCCGAGGGGGACGAGGAGGATCAGAGGGGATGTCCTGCAAAGGGGCCCCAGGACACACGAATGGAGAGACCGTCCCTCGAGAGAGCGCCGAGGGGGGCGAGGAGGATCAGAGGGGAGGTCCTGAAAAGGGGGGCCCCTGGGGCACACAGATAGATAGGTACACTTCCCAGGCTCCCCCATGCTGTCCACGTGTTCTGGAGGCGCATCCTCCCCCCCATATTCCCATATTTTTCCATTTTTCGAAAAAAATGGCGATTACGGTGAGGGCATTGGATAATGAGTCCTTCGATAAGGAACCCAGGGTCTGGAAGCCGGTGGAACTCGAATCGATCGCGGATTGGCCATGGATATCACCACCACCCTCATGAGCCAAGGAATCCCCCAAGGTCTGAAGCCTCCTGGGCACGTTCCTCAACGAACGCCCCACAGCATGTTGTTTATTTTGTTTTTTTGTTTTTGTTTTTTGCTGTTTTTTGTTCTCTCCCTCCTGGAAGTCTCTGCAGGACTCTGCAGGTTTCCTGGGAGGTTCCCATGGAGATCTCTCCGGAGGCCTGCGGAGGCTCTCAACAGGGGGGCAGCAGAAGCTTTCGAAAGGTCGATCGTCGAGAATCGAATGGTTCGAGAAAGAGAGAGAGAGAGAGGGAAGACCTCGATCCTCGATCCTCGAGGAACGAACGCTTTGGACAACTTCGATCCTGGATCCTCGAGGATCGAATACTTCGAGAGAGAGAGAGAGAGAGCAGGAACCTGAGCATGCCAAACACACGGACTTCCCGTAGTTGTTTTTTGTTGTTTTTGATTCTCGCCATGTCTGGCCGAGAACGGCCCAGAACGGCCTGAGGGGGCCCCAAAGATCGGCTCACGACGGCCTGAGAGGGCGCTCCAAGACTTTCGTTGTCGTCGTCCCCCTCCTCCTCCTCCCCCTCCTCCTCCTCCTCCTCCTCCTCCTCCCTCCTCCTCCCTCCTCCTCCCTCCTCCTCCTCCTCCTCCTCCCTCCTCCTCCCTCCTCCTCCCTCCTCCTCCCTCCTCCTTCCTCCTCCTCCTCGGGAAGTCCTGGCCCTTTCCCACCCCCCACAAGGCTGGCTTCTCATCCTGAGCCGCTCTCTGACGGCCCCAGGGCGCAGAAGCGACCCCCAGAGGAGAAACCTCCGCCTTGATGTCTTGTTTAAGACGCTGGATCTCTGGAGAGAGAGAGAGATATATTTATATATATATATAGAAAGGAAGAGAGAGAGAGAGAGAGAGAAAGGAAGAGAGAGAGAGAGAGATTTATATATTACATAAACGACGAGCGGGATAATCACACAGAAGGGAAGATGTCTGGAGGTCCTGGAGGTCTCAGAAAGCCTTTCGAGGCTGAACAAGAGGGCACATACTTTCGCTAACCTCGATGCCCGACGATCGATGCTATGTGTGTGTGTGCGTGTGTGTTTGTGTGTGTGCATTTGAACATTTTCTAGTTCGGGCATTTCAACACTGGGCCTAGGGGGGGTAAGAAGAGGGGGTCGCAGCAGTTCCAAATAGATAGTTCCCTCGCAGCAATTCCAGACATAGCGAGGAATGTCTGAGTCGGCGTTTCGGCATTGGGCGGAAGGGGGGGAGGGGGAGGGTCTGGCTCGGGACCCCCGCTTGGTGCGGCTAATTTGCGGCAGTGCGTCCCATGAGAAAGACTCCGCTTGGTCGAGACAGGCACCAAAAACAGCCAAGTTATACTCCGCGCCGCTTGGCCGCCGGAGAGCGTTCTCGGGGGTGCGCAGATCGCCCCCCGAGCGGCCCTCGGAGAGCCGAGTCAGGTCCCAAGAACCAGATTCGGCGGCGCGCCCAGGGGGGAAGTGAGAAGGAGAATGCTCCTCCTCCTCCTCCTCCTCCTCCTCCTCGCTGTTGTCTGTCTCGACCAAGCGGAGCGAGGGCCCGCGCCGATCGGCAAGACAAGGACGAAGAAAACGAGCACCGCGGAGGGAGAAGCGACCAGGGAGGCTCACGAGGCTGGCTTGAGCCCCGAGTCCCCCCCTCGACTTCTTCCCCCCTCGAGCGAAGCCCGGCCGAGGCGCCTCCTCTCATCCTCCTTTCCTCATCCTCCTCCTCCTCCTCCTCCTCCTCCTCCTCCTCCTCCTCCTCCCTCTCCTCCTCCGCCTCTTGTGCTGCGCGTGACCTTTTTCTTTTTTTCCGGTGCGCGATTGCTTCCACAGACGGGCGCGCTCCAAGCTGCTACAGTGGAAGCCCATACCAAGGAACACCCTGCTTGCCTCCAGGGCGCCCTGGGCGTCTTGGGTTTCGAGGCTTTTGCGGTGGAGAGCGTGACGCTCCCACACCAAAAATCAATGGACGTCCCGGGGTGTCTGGGTTGGGTTTCTCGTAGAAGGTTTCTTGTGGTCGAGCTCCTCTTGCACAGAGGGACAAGAGGGAGGGGGAGGGGCGTCGGTGCGGAGCCGCTTCGCCGCGGAGCCGCTTCGCCGGAGCCTCGCCTCGCGCGAGCTTGCTGCTCGACGGAGCTTCACGAGCGGCCCGGCGGGCGAGCGGGCCCCGACGGGCTGGCGGGCTATGGGGCACCACGGGCGGGGCTGGCGGGTGAGACAGTGTTCGAGCAGGGGGTCGACTACAGAATTGATTGACCCCAAGCTTGATCTGTTCGTGGAATCTATAAGACATGAGTAGAATGTTCGGAGATCTACGAACAGTCTACGTATGACTCGACGAGAAAATCAATTTCGGGGTAAGTAGAGCCAGGGCCACGCCAGCGGGCGTACCGATCTTTTGGCGTGATATCCGACCCCGGACCAAGCCTCTGGGTCGGTTTTGGAGGTCGCCGCGCGATCGCGGCGGCAACAGCTCGGGGCAGGGTTTTTGCCAAGGAGTGGCATGCCCCTTCCCAGTCTCCCCCCCCCGCCGCTCTGCAACGTAGACGGGGCGCACACTTGACAACGTGGCGACAGTTGTCAACTTGTGTCCAACATGGGCAGCATCACGCAACCAGGATCGGTAAAACCAGGCTTGGGAACTGTGGCGGGCGGGAGGTCACTGAGGCGTGCGGGGACTGGCGGATCTCAGCTGGCGGGCGCGGGCGGAAGGGGAGGCGCAGGGGGGAGGGAAGGTCAGCGGAGGGCCGTTGGAGCCACCGGTGGTGGGCCTTCGGGGGCTTCACGGCGCGTTCGAATAAGGTCGTTCGCAATTGGCACCTCCATCTGCCGACCGCCCCTGCGCCGCCGACTTAAAAAAGGGCTTTGGGGGGGGCCCCCCGTCGTCACGGCTGGACGCAGCTCGGACAGATGGTGCGTCTGGGCTCCGGGATGGGTCTGGGGGCCGAGTTCGGGGCTCAAGAAGTGGGGGTCAATGCAAACGGAGGTCAGCCAGAGCGCCAGATCTTGCAGGATCTTGCTGGGCCTGGGGCGCACTGACCCGGGCTTTGGCGCAGGCTCTTGCAGGGCCTTGCAGGATCTTACATAGCCCGACGGACCCGGGTTTGCATTGACCTGGGTCAGTGCGTCCCCGATCGTCGCCACAGTTGGACGCAGTTCGGAAAACGGATGCGTCTGAACCCCGGGACGGGTTTGGGGACCGATTTTGAGCCGATTTTGAGTTTCCAGCGTCTCAACTCGCCCTTCTCCGAAGGAGGGGGAGGGAAGGGGAGAGGGAAAAAGAGGAGATTCCTGGGCGAAGCGGCAATCGGGCAAAGCGATACCCGGGCGAATCGAGTTGGTCACCAAGCGGCGTGTCATTGTCAATTGCGCGGGAATCATGCACATGAGGAGAGAGGTGGGGGGAGGAAGTGGAGCAGGGATGGAAATCAGCAGGAGTAGTGAGAGCGAGCTTGGTTGCGCCGATCCTCGGTGGAACCGACATCCAGTGTGAGGTAATCAGCGTAAAAAGGGATAATCTCGATCCATTGGAATGCGAATCCAACTCTGCATGTGAGAGCCAAGAATCCCAGGCGATCGCAAACATGGATCAAGGGGGGCGTGGACTAGCGACGGGTCCCGTTTCCATGAGGAATCGCGGATTCCCGCCGCCGAGCGAGGCGACATCGGCCGCATTTTGGGGAGGGCACCTGCTCCGATCCATGGATTTGGCAACCGCGCGCCAAATCCATGGATCGCTAATCCATGCTTGCGCGCCCCCAAATGAAAATGGGGTAATCTCTATCCATTGGAGTGCGAATCCAACTCCGAATGTGAGAGCCAAGATTCAGAGATCGAACGAGACCAGTATCGAGGCTGTGCCTCGGAACAGCACAGATGCGCCGATCGGCTCAATCAGAGCATGGCGCAGAGGGTGCAATGCTGCCCCCAGCCCCACGAGAGTCTCCAACCAAAGATTGCGAAAGTAGTTGAAGTTTGGCCCCTTTAATGCGCGAAATTAATCTTCGAAGTTGCCACTCGGCTCAGGGAACATGTATTCGAAGTGACCGGGCATTGGCCATTGTCGTTGAAGTTCCTGTGTCCCAAGAAGCGCGGGTTATCTGCAATCTGGCGACGGACGTGGACGATAGAGGATGGACGGGAACTTCAAACGCGGGCTCATATCGAATTGCATTGCTCTTCCAATCCTTTTTGGTTTTGGCTACGCAATTCAGCTCCAGCACCTTGCTGCCGCTGCCCTTGCGGTCAATTGGTTTGTCTTCGTGGTTCATGCTCTTCCCAGAAATAGCGAGCGTTTTTTCGATGCTACTGGCTCTCTGACCTATTTGATTATGATCGGCAGTGCGGTATCAACGTCTCAGGGTTGCGTATCAAGGAGGTTCGTCAGTGCTTCTATGGTTGTCGTGTGGTGCATTCGGCTTGGCTCCTACTTGCTAGGACGGATCATGAAGGATGGAAAAGACGGTCGTTTCGACGAGTTCAGGAAGAGTTGGCTTCGCTTTCTGGGCGTGTGGACCATTCAAGCTGTATGGTGTTTCTTCGTCGCATCGCCTGCTCTAGTCATGATTACCTCGGAGGCCTGCCACACGTCCGTAAGCATCCTTGATTGTGTGGGCTGGGCGCTCTGGTTGGTGTCCTTCTGCATAGAAGTTGTAGCTGACAGGCAGAAGGACAGGTTCCGCCGCGATCCAGCAAATAAAGGACAGTTCATCACTACTGGCCTCTGGGCCTACTCGCGTCACCCGAACTACTTCGGCGAGATCTGCATGTGGATAGGGATATGCATTTCGGGCAGCAGTTGCTTCCATGGTCTGGAATGGCTCTCGTGGGTGAGCCCTCTGACCACCTGGATATTATTGATGAAAGTCAGCGGGGTATCCCTTCTTGAGAAGTCGGGGCAGGAACGCTGGGGCAAGGACCCCAAGTATCAACACTACATGGATCACACGCCTTGCATCGTTCCAGCCTTACGCAAGCCTCCGGCCTACCCCACGGATGGTTATGTCCCAATCGTTGGGTAAGATCATCAAAGACACGTTCATTATCTATGTTCCAATTTTCTTCTTAGCAGAGCAGGCGTCAATCTTGTACGGGGCTGTCCCCACATGGGGGTAGTAGAGATAAAATGTGCAGATCCGACAGGGAACGTGAGTTCAAAGTCCAGAAGCACGTCATGCACACGCCGCCGTCCTCCAAGAATGTGCGTGATTGGCACGACCTCATCCCTTGCAGGTGCAGTTTTCTTCTGAAACCTCATGATACCCGAGAAAACCAATCATCATCTTTTTAGGGCCATAGGGCTATGGGGCTATAGGGCTATAGGGCTATGGGGCTACGCGGCTACACTATAGGGCTACAGGGCTATAGGGCTACACGGCTACAGGGCTATGGGGCTATAGGGCTATAGGGCTATAAGGCTTTAGGGCTATAGGGCTACAGGGCTATCGGGCTACAGGGCTATAGGGCTATAGGGCTATAGGGCCATAGAGCTATTGTGCTATTGGGCTATAGGGTTATAGGGCTATCAGGGCTATTGGGCTATAGGGCTATGGGGCTACAGGGCTACCCAGCACCCGGGCACCGGGGCACCCGGGCACCCAGGCACCCGGGCACCCTTGGGCACCAAGGCACCCGGGCACCCGGGCACCCGGGCCGGCCACCTAAATCGGTGGCGACGCTCACCTAACCATATGAATCCGTTGGGTGCAGTTTTTTTCTGAGACCTCAAATCCATAGTTCGCTTCTCAACCCGATAGCTATTATGGTCGTTGGCATCGCCCCTAAGTGTTCGGAACTCTGCTGGAGAGCTACTTGGCAGTACCACCTGTGGTGTGGTTTCCAAAGTTTGCCCTTACCGCTTGTTCAAGCGGTTTGTCACGTGCTGCTCAGAGGGTGTCAGTTCATTCGTGTGAGGCGCGTGCTCAATATCACGTTTCAGTTGCTGCCTGGGGATTGTGGGACAATCCAAACATGCGCGTTGCCTAACGATTTCGATACGCACACGGCAGAAAGGGCGGGCCACAGTCACAGCCAGAGCGTGTCAGGCCAGCGGGGAAGGGAAGTTGGCGGCACACGGGGCCGGTGCGAGGGGGGCGATAGTATCAGAAGCCCGGAGGGTTCCCAAGAAGGCAGACGGTTTCCCAGAAGCCCTCCCCAGGTCGCTCCAAGAATCACCGAGCGTGTTCCATTGCTCGCAAAGTGCCGACTGGCAAACGTCCGACAAAACACACGTTTGCCTCGGTGTAGTGGATCGTAGATCCCCCGCAGCGAATCCAGGCCAGTTGCGAGCAGTTATTTTTGCGAGCAGTGGAGCGCGCTCGTCTAAAGAAGGTCCACTCGTTCCGAGAGGACCCCTGCCTCCTCTCAGAGGGCCGCCCCGCTCGCGCCAAGCCCCCTCTTGTGCGCGCCGCCGGGGCCGTGGTGGTGGTCACTGCAGGAGGGGAACCAAGACCCGGGCAGGGCAACACGCACCACGACCACGACGACGCCGACGACGACGACGACAACGGAGGCAAAGACAACACGCGCAGAAGATCCGCACCGAAGCACGGGTCAGGGAGAGGGCCCGCCCAGGAAAGCCTATTGTTTCACGCGGGCGAGAGCTCGTCCGAGACGAGCTTGTTTGGACGAGTTCGTTCGGACTATTTCTGCTGGACGAGCTCAGCCAAGGACGAGCTCATCCGAAGACGAATCCATCCAGAGACGAGAGCATCCGCAGACAGGTTCATCCAGACGAGCTTGTCTGGACAATCTCAGCTGGACGAGTTCGTCTGGAAGCACGCTTTTCTGGATTAATTCGTCGCGGAAGATATCTGTCAGGATTGGTCGTCCTCTCCTAGCAGGTTCGTTGAAGCAGCGCATCGTCGAGCGCCACCGAGGAAGACGTCGGCGACGTCTGCGATGCACCGGCGACGTCGGCGTGGAGAAAGTCGAGATCTGTTTCGAGCCGCATCGCCGATGCTTCAGCGACGCGGCGCGATCCTCCTGCCCGGTCAACTCGGGCCCCATCTGCGAGGCCCCTCGGGTTAAGTCGGGCCTGTCCCCCTACACGAGGATTTTCGACGAAAAATAGAAAATACCCCAGAAATAATCAAAAAATGCTCCAAAAATAGTCTGGGGACTATTTTTGGGGTATCTTTTGACCCTGTTGGGGTACTTTGGGGGTATTTTCTATTTTTCGCCGAAAATCCCCCTGTAGGGGGACACGCCCGACATAACCCTAGGGAAAGGGCCCACGCAGCAGGCTGACTTCCGCAGCACATCGCCGAGCGCCGCCGAGGAGGAGTGGCCCCAAGTCTTAAGTCGTGCGTGTCCCTCTACAGGAAGATTATTCAAACATTGACAACAAGTCACATGGGGACGATTTTTCTATTATGTTTAACTATGTTTGACACTTTTTTGACTATTCGTTTCTTTCTCCTCCAAAATCCGCCTGTAGGAGGACATGCCCGACCTAACCCAAGTCCCGACCCTTTCCCCGGGACCAGTTTCTCGTCCTGAGTCGTTTTTTGATTGCCCCAGGGCTTGTCGAGGTCCCCCAGCGGCCGAAAACGACGAGAAGTTTCCGCCCTGATTTGTTTCAAGACGCAGGCATGTCTGGACTAAGGTGAAGGGCCCGCACAGCAGGCTCGCTCCAACAGCCCATCGTCGAGCGCCGCCGAGGAAGAGCGCCCCGCCACCTCAGGGGCAACGATAGGGGGGGTACAGGCAAAGAGGGGGGGGATATGTATCCACCCCCAATCGCCCATTTTGATCGCCGACAGGGGCCCGATAGC